TATAATTTCTAGTATATATATATATATATAGTATATTTAGTTTATACTATATTCATATGTATTACTATTATACTATATATTATATATTATATTTACACTAGGATATGGGACCTGTAGTGGTACGATTATGTATGTATATATATATCAATATTATATATTTAGCCCTTGGGTCCTAGTTATTTTTAAAGTGAAAAAAAAAATTTATACTAAAGTTTATATAATATATAAATATCTTTAATATATATCTACCGTGCAATATAATAGTATATTATATATCTATACTATATAATATAGTTTATAATACCATATAATATATTATATTGTATGTATTAGGATCCTATTACTTATTATTTAATATATTTTCTATACTTACTTATTTTTGATATATAGTATACATATATACTAGTTATACCATATAAGGTTATATAGTACGTATATTATATGTACTACCTTCTATAATACTATATTATTTACGGCCTAATATTATACTACATACACCACACATCACACACCACACACATCACAAGCACAAACACACACACACAGACACACACACACACACACAACATATATAAACGTGAGGTAGTATACTAGTATAGTATATATATATAATAATATAGGTATATTAATATATATAATATAATGACTAGTGTATGGTACTGTATGTATGTATTATTTATAGACTAGTATTTATATATATATACTATCACTATATATATATATATATATATATAGCTTAGGATGTACTATAATTATGTTGTGTGTGTGTTGTGTGTGTCTGTGTGTGTGTGTGTGTGTGTGTGTGTGTATACCGTACACATCATGCACACACCACACACACACACACACACACACACACACACACACATATATATATTACACATATATAGTAGTATAATAGTAGTTATATTTTTTGGATTTTATAGTATTAGTTTTTCTTCCTCTAGGTACTATATATCTTATAATATATTATAGGTATGCATACATATATATATTTTATATATTTTATATATATAATGATATATGTATTATAATTAATATTATGCATACATACATAACATATATTATATATATATATATATAATTTTATAAATATATTATGTATTTATAATAGTATTTTATTTTATATAATACTATATAGTATATATATATATTATCATACAACATCACATCACACTCACACATCATCTACACACACACAAACGTAGATTCTCGTTTTACGTGGTTCTTGGGTCTTTAGCGCACACACACACACTATTCGCACACACACACACACACACAACACACACCACATATTATATTATATAATATGTCATATAGTATATTGTACTATTTTATGACTTAATATATATGTTATATGCTATACATATACTATAGTTATATATATATTTTTAGGTTTATATATACGTGTTATATATATATAAGGTGCTAATATTAGTATTAATATATAGACGCTTTTATATAACTAGTTATTATATCCGGTATTTTATGTATGTACTGTTGTATAAATATATATATTTCATACTAGCTATTATATATATATATGTGGTATATATATACTATACTACTTACATGTATCGCTTTGTATGTGTATTATATATATATACTATATTATATATATACTCGTATATATATCATATATATGCTATATATTACTACATAAACTTTTTATATCTGATAGTTCTATGTATGTATGTAATGAGTATAATATAATTTTAAATACTGTGTTTACCTACTATATATATATATATACGTATACGCTACAGTGCCTATATTTAATACTATATACATTAATATAATATATTATTATAATATATTATATATATATATTAATATAATCTATATACATATATATATATTATACTACATATTAATATAATATATACTATAATATATATAAGTATTATAATATTATACTATCATATATATATATATAAATATAGTAATTATATATCTATATATATAATTATCCATACACACACACACACACACACACACACACCAGCACACATCAACACACACACACACACACACACACAACATATATACTATATATTTAACTATATTATATATATATGTATGTATGTAATGGTATGGTAATGTATAAATAATATTATATATATATTATAAATAATATATATATATATATATATATATAGTATGTGTTGTTGTGTGTGTGGTCTGTTGTGTGTGTGTGTGTGTGTGTGTATAGTACAGTCACACACACGACACACACACACATTTCCAAACACACACAAACTTCTTCCTACTACACACACACATATATATATAACAACATTATTATATATATTATATATATTATAGCTTCTAATGAGCTGCATATTTATGTAGTGCCTTAACTACATATAACTATTAGTTATTTTAACTATATATTAGGTGCACTACATTATATAAACTACCGTACATATATACATAGTATATATTAATACTACTAATACTTTATACGTACATACATAAGTATCTATAGTATTAGTATAACACTCACTAGCTATAATATTAGTGTATAGTAGTATATCATATTTATATATTATATATATGGTAACTTTATATATCATTACACAACACACACACACATCGACACACACACAACACACACATCACACACACACAGCACAGCACACACATATGCACTATAGTATATGATATGTATTATATGACGGTATATAACTATATACTAGTTATAATATGCCATACTAGTATTATATAGTATAGCTTATATAATATATACACCTTAGTAGGGGTATCCCTATATACTAGCCCCTAATAGTATATCTGTATGGCCCGCCTATATATATACTCAGCCGGTATTTAGGTATATACTATTATATATATGAGCCCTATGAGTCATTATATTATCATTTAAAAAAAAATATATTATAGGCTATTGCAAGTATAATATATAGTGTATATACGTATTAACTATATATCATAGGCGCACTATCCGCTTATTACGTATAGCTTACTACTAACGTGCTTAGCAGTAATACACACACACACACACACTTTTGTGCGAAGACCTAGCTTCGAGCTCAGGGATGAGCGAAGAACGCAAATAACTTGAGCCGCGACAGCTCTGGGGTGCGAGAAGGTCCAACGGAAAAACAGCTTCTCCGCGATCACAAAAGCTCACTGTGTGCAGTCCGTTGCTTTCCTTGAGAAGGATCCAGTTGTCATGCACATAACCAACCTTGTTCAGTATTACTTGGTGATACTAAAGCATTGATTTCTAGCCATATATGCGAGGCCATTGTTCATTAAACGCTCTTTTCATTTTCAGACATTATACCATTCGCTTTACTTTAAACAAACTAATGAAAATCTTTAAAAACTTTTTAAGAATAGTAAGACGGAGCTCATTTGTAACCAAATTAGCACAAAATAACTCTCTCTCTTCTCTCACTTTCTGATGTGCTTCTTTTCGCAAAATTTACGATCAAGTAAACTTCAGCAAAGTGTAGGAGCGCTTTCTCTCCTTATCGAATTACAGAATGGCAACCAATTTAGCATAACGATTGTGGATACACATTTGTATATATGTATATATATAATGTATATATATAGCATATAACATTATAATATTATATATATAATATAATAATATATAATATAGTTATTTGTACAATATAAGCATATATACCATATATATGTATAATATATATAATATATAATTATTATATATATATATATATAATATATATTTATTTATATAGTCACATACATAATCATCAACATATATATATATATATATATACATATATATCATATATATACTACGTATATATACTACTATATATAATTAATATTAATACGTATATGTATACTATAAATATATATTATATATAATATATTTAATATATATATATACTATATAATTATATAATATATATATATCGTATATATTGTTTTAAAATTTATATTTAAAAAAATTTAGAATAATATTATATACTTATATATAATTCATAATATAATTTATATAACATAATTGGTGTGTGTTGGTGTACAGTACACACACACACCACACACACACACACAGAAAGTTGTAATCCATCACACAGCACACAACACACAACACCCAGCTACTGATCACACAAACACATACACACAACACACAACACACACACACACACACAACACACACACACACACACACACACAATCACATCACACACACACACACATATATAATATAATATATATATAGATATATAAATATATAATATTATATGCTACTGATATATATATAATATATTATTAGTAATATGCT